AAGAAGAAAAGCTATAGAAGTAGCAGATGGAAGAAAACATGGGAAGATTATTTCTTTGACATATCTTCTTGTAGTGTAACATAAGCATGTATAGGTTTTAAACTACTAATTAAATTGTGTGCACACATTAACATAATAGGAATACAGCTACATAACCAAAGCAGACCTACAATTAACAGCCATATCCAGTGAAACCAAGAAAACCAGTTAGGCACCCTAGGAATTGGGGAAAACTTATCAATGATATGATGGATATTGTTTAAGGTGTATCCATTTTTAATGTGTTTTTTTTGGCTGGGCAGTTTAAAAGACGGTCTAGTATAACCTCATGATTAAGAGTTCTGGTTTTGAGTTAACTGGCCCTGGATTCAAATTCCAGCTCTGTCAGTTACTAGCTATATGACCACAGTCAGGTTATTTAAGTTCTTTCAGCCTCAGTTTCTCATCTGTAAAGTGAGAATGAACAGTTTAGAATCTCACAGTATGACTGTGATGATTAAAAAGGATCACGTATTTAAAAGTATTTAGCTCAGTCTCTAGTACTATTAAGAGTTCAATAAATGTTAGCTATTTCCTCTATTGGAAAAAGCAGGAAAATTATTTAGAGGCTTATTAAAACATGTAAAATTTAGTTTGAAAAACAAAGTTTGGGAGTGACCCGAGGATAGTGATCAAGTATGAGGATTTTTCATTTTTAATGAATACCAAATACTTTTTTTAATCGAAGGAGACAGACCTAGGATAAATGGCTTTAAATTGAATTGAGTTATACAGAAGAATGAATTTCTTAACTCTGAAAAGTATTATGTAATACTAGTCCCATTTCAGGCTGTTAGGGTAGAATCACAATTTCTTGATGTATTTTTTAAGACTAGGGCAAACAAAAATTGTATGTTGGATGGCCTAAATATCTGATGTAGATTCTTTTAATGATGTTGTCACCTAGCTTTATCCAGAGAGTATGTTCTCCAAATATCCTCCTCTCAAGTATCTCCTTAAACATAATGAAAACAGCGATGATAATTCATGTTACTTGGAAACTGCATTTCTTGGCTGGATGGCTGGAGAATAAGATAGATGGGACAGATGTGGTGTCTCCATATGGCTTCAATAGGAACTTGAAACCATTCTGGAAAAATATATACCTGTCTTAACTGCAAAACCAGACTCTCAAATTATGAAAACCTTAGTACTATGTTTATTGCAGCACTATATACAATAGCCAAGAAATGAAAGCAACCTAAGTGTCCATCAGTAGATGAATGAATAAAGAAGACGTGGTACATATACACAATGGAATATTACTCAGCCATAAGAAAAAAACAGATCCTACCATTTGCAACAACATGGATGGAGCTAGAGGGTATTATGCTCAGTGAAATAAGCCAGGCAGAGAAAGACAAGTACCAAATGATTTCACTCATATGTGGAGTGTAAGAACAAAGCAAAAACTGAAGGAACAAAGCAGCAGCAGACTCACAGAACCCAAGAACGGACTAACAGTTACCAAAGGGAAAGGGACTCGGGAGGATGGGTGGGAAGGAAGGGATAAAGGGAATAAGGGGCATTACGATTAGCACACATAATGTGGGGGTGGCACGGGGAAGGCAGTACAGCACAGAGAAGACAAGTAGTAACTCTATAGCATCTTACTATGCTGATGGACAGTGACTGTAAATGGGGTATGTGGTGGGGACTTGATAATGGGGGTAACCTAGTAACCACAATGTTGCTCATGTGATTGTATACTAATGATACCAAAATAAAAATGAAATAAAATAAAATAAAAACAAAAAACCTTAGTACTCTGGAAAATGTTTTCTGGTCCATCTCAGTGCTTAAAGGGGACATAAAGAGATGAATTATGTTCATGCAGAATGGCTTTCCTCCTCTGATCTTTGTGGCTGATGTGAAAACCTTGGGAAATTGCCTACGGCAGCAACAACACAGAAATGATATACCTACATCTCCTGCTCTACTGTAATCTCCCATCCTCTCAAAGCTCTGACCCATGTGGCCACCTTATACACTTTCAGCTCAAGCCTTTGGAACAAGTGAACACCTCTGGAGTCAACACCAGGTACAGACTGGAACCTGCCTTGAAGTACCCACAGACAAGCACTCCTATTGATTATTTTCAATGTGTATTCATGACCTACTTTTCACCTAGAAATCAAAGTTAAACATAAATGCTATACTAGTTCCACCCCCTATGTAAGTTATTTAAATTCTGACATTTTGGGAGAAGGAAAGGGAGAAAAATTATATACCTAGGCTCAAAAGTTCTCTCCTGCCACTATTCCTCAATGTTAGATGCCGCCCACAGCCTCAAAGTGGCTTCTGAAACACCTTTCCTAAAGTAACTCTTTATACCCTGTATAGCACTTTTTAATCATGCAACAACACTGTTTAGTAAGCAGTGATATAGCATTACCTGCTCATCACTGGCAAAAAGACAATTAATGACTTGCCTAAAGTTACATACATGTGAGTGACATAATTATTTAAAAAACAGGCCTCATGACTTCCAACCCAATATGCTTTTCATTAACCTACAATGATTTATTATAGTTGATATATAATATTGGTTTCAAGTATACAAGTTATATGATGGTTACCTACATTATAATAAATGCTCATCCCAACTAGTGTAGTTATTATCAACACAGAAATGTTACTGTATTACTGACTATATTCTCCATGCTGTACCTTCATCCCCTAATTTATATTATGATTGAGATTTTGTGCATCTCTATCCCCTTCACCTATTTCACCCACTCACCCCAACTCCCACGTCCCCATGTGAACCACCAGTTTCTCTTCTCACTGCCTCTATTTGTTTTATTTTTTTAGATTCCATATATAAATGAAATCACATGGCATTTGTCTTTTTCTGTCTGGCTTATTTCACTTAGCATAATACCCTCTAAGTCCACCCATGTTGGGCAAATGGCAAATTTTATTTCCCTTTTTAATGGCTGAATAATATTCCACTGGGTATATGTACCACATCTTCTTTATCCATTCATCTATATTCATCTATTGATGGACACTTCGGGTGCTTCCATACCTCAGCCACTGTAAATAATGCTAACCTACAATGATATTAGTAGGATCTTATTATTTATAAATAAAAACAATGGTGGTAACCATTTATCAAGTCCTAACCACATGCCAGGCACCATGCTAAACCTATATAGCTGGTCTCTTAATTCTCACAATATCCCTGTGAGACAAATACTGTCATTATCTCCTTTTGGTAACTGAAGAAAAGATGGCAAAATAGCAAAAACTTGTCCAGGGTCACCCAGCTAGTCAGTGACAGAGCCAGGATTCAAATCCAAGTCTGTTACCATAGCTTATGGTCTTAACCTTCGATATTGTTCCACCCTCTAGGTCAAGGGACAAGTTTGGTTATTTATAACTCCCTATTCCTGGGGGAAAAATTAACTCCTACACAATACCGTTAAAAATTAATTCAAACAATTTATAATGGTGAAACTTGTACAAAGTTCTAATGTTTTCTTCATTAACAGGTACAAATAAATCTCCACTGAATTCAGCAATACTGCCAGATGTATACTGCTGCTTCATATAAAACTAGGCATTGCATTTGTAAATACAGTAACAAGAGAAACAAAAATTGCTCCTGTTCTGACTAGAGCAGCCATGTCAAGTGACAAAAATGCTAACAAGTTATGATGTAGAAGCATTTTCCAGGTATCTTCATAATGCCAAGGAATAAATAATGGGATAATAAGGTTTACAGCAAACCATTTTCAAGTAAATATTATTCTTTCTTTGTACCTGAATTTGTTTTTAAGGACTAGGAAGTAAAAATATACCGCTCTGGTTCTCAAAAATCAGTAAGCCACAGTAAGGAAAAAAAATCCAAAAGCACCAAGCAAAATTCAATTGCAAAAAAGAAATGAAGTGTTCTATTGCTTTCTACAGTTTTGGGGGTAGGGAAGATAAACATTTTCACAGGTAAGGGCTCACTACAACAAAAACTGACATCTGAATTCCCATTTGTGCCCATACTGATTCTAGGGTCTGAGATTATCTATCTTAAAGCAAATCTCAAGTGACCCTTGAACATCTTCACAGTGCTTTTTTTCTAATACTAGAAGAGTATTTTTCAGAATAGATCACTCCTGACCATCAGTTTGGCAGCCCCTTTCCCATCAGATTCTTCATGAAATATGAGCTTACTCAGTGCCTAATAACAGACGTATGTTCTGACAAACCCGTCTTTAAAATAATGAAACATTTTATAGTGAAGCTATTGAAGGTTTATTATGGAAGTAATTTCAGTAAAGAGCTCAAAGGAGAAACATAGTAATCAAATGACACTGTTTCAATGTCAATAGTAATTTATCCCAAATACCAGCTGAGACAATACCATGTTTCCAACAGAACAACATAGTAGCTTGCCAATCTGGTTAGCAGATAGTGAAGACAACTTCAGGAACACTACTCTGGCGCAGCTTCCGAAAAAAACTGTAAAATTCACCAAAAGTTGTGTAGTGATAAAGGCTATATTATTATGTAACTGAACCACAGGAAAATACTTTTTTGGCAAGTGCTAACATTTTCCTGTGGAAAGGGTACTGTCATCTTCTCTTCCAAATGACCACGATTTCTTTATGATGGAAGATGAAAACATATCAGAATTTAATTATGAACATACATTTGAATGAAGATTTTAACACATGAAGCATTCACATTAAGCAAACTGTTTTTTAAGTCAACATAGTCTCCAGGAAGATTTTAACTCTTTTTGAAAATTAAAAAAAATTGAATAATATATTGACTCACTCCTCTTTTGTTGAGTGAAAAATAAGTTAAATCCAGCCTTGGAATTTGCTGGTTCGAGAAAAAAAAAAGACAATTTAAAAATTATACTCAGTTAATAATGCAATACACTCTAACAGAAGCAAGTTCCTCCTTAATGAGCTTAAAATAAGTTTTATTCTCAAGAGGCAGAAATACCAACTTACCAATTTTGTGCCTCTTTTAATTTCCTTTTGGACATCTTCAATAGAAAATCCACCAAGACTTTCGTTATCAGAGTGTGATGATACCAAAGCGGATGAAAAGAGCTATAAATTACATTTAAAAACAATTAAGGTTCATATATAAAGAAATTACAGTGAAACAGTGAATAAGATGTTAAATTTAAAAGAAAATTTTCTAGTAAAAATGGCATAGACTTAGTGAGAAACCACGTCTTAAAAATTTAACGGAGTTTGTGTGTGTGTGTGTGTGTGTGTGTTCAGGAACATTCGTTGTTAAGATTCTCATGGTTTCAGGTCTCTTGGTTGCTGTTGGATACTTACCATGCACTTATGGTGTGCTGCCACCTTCTGGTTTTCAGATATTAGTAACTGTCCACATTCCTTGTCTTTATTTGACTTACAAAAGCCACATTTGCGCTGTCTTGTAGGCCCTTTTTTCTGTTCAACTGAGCTTGACATTTTACAATTGCCTTTAGAATGCCACTTTAAGCCTCAAGAAATGCTACAGAGAATAAGGGCGACAAAATGGTTAACTTCGTTTTAAAATCAGTTTACAGAGTCATGTAAATTGTTTAATATTTGACCTAAATTGTAATGTATGCATTTTAAAATGGGTATTTAGTATAGACAAATTAATATTAAAACCTAAGGTGCCTCCATAATAAAAAAAATATGTATGCATGTATAAAGATAAGTTAATGAAGTAACTGACAAAAATTAAACTGTTCCCAAATAAGGGGACACACGAAAGAATTGGAACTATTTCTGGGTGGATAAATAAAAAAATGTACAACATGTGGTATTAAAACAGTCATCTGCTGACATAATTACTGAGAAATATTTTTCATGTATAACTAGGTGTACCTTCAAAGAGACAAAGAATTACATATCTAAAAACTGATGACAAAGTATTAAGAGAACTATACAATATCCATAGTGAACAGAATTCTATTAACTGCACAGTTCCTTAAAGTTCACATATTGATAAACCAACAAAAGAGAAATGAATTTACTTAACCATGACTTTGGAACATTTATTTTTAAAACTTCAATTATTGTCAAGTTTAAAAAAATCATGTATACATGTTTAATAAATGAAATTTTGCTATTATTATACTCCTTTTGCAAGTAAAGAAAAATTAAGCTTACCAATTGACTATTCAAAAGCACACTTTAGGAACAATTATTTATGAAAACTATATTATCTGCCTCTGAGATTTTCTCCACAAGTCTGCCTATTAAAGTTACAAACTGACAGTGTTGTTCTAAGTGCAGTAACTTTCATACTTATATTAGTAATATTGTGTGAAGGAAGGAAAGATTTTTCAATGAGCCTTAAATTTAGTCATATTATATATAATCATAGGTAGTGTAGTCAAATAAAAACAGGGAAGAAAATCTCTAACATAGGTTTCAGATTTAGATCATTAATCTTAACATAGATTCTTCAAAAAACTCTAAAACAAAAGTAAAATCAGTTATTTGATTTGTGTATTTTTCCCCAATCAACAGAACTAAGCAGTTCAAGACCCAGGTCGCCACAACACACATCACAATCAACAAAATCTCAAATTTTTGCCTTAAAATGTACTAAATTCTTTCTACTTTCTATATACTTGAACATTTGCATAACACTATGTTGAAAAAATGGACTAACGCTACATTGTAGCTTTCTGAGAAGCGCAGCAAGAACAGTAGCAGCTGGGTGCCAGAAAGGTGGTAGCTGCAAACCACTCAGCGCTTTACAATAGGTAAATGCAGATACTCAATAAAAATTTAAAATGAAGCCACAAATAAACAGGTCTTCTCATCAATTTATATCTAGGTTTCTCTTTTCAACAAAACTTCAAAGGCCCTGACAGTCTCTGCATTGATGGGTTTAAGAAACTTTTAACGCTATCTACAATTTTAAATACCTCAGTCTTCCAAATGGCATCAGATACTTTACAATAGTACTATATTCATAGCACTAGCTCTAAACCGTGAAACTGATTGAAAACAGGCAGCAAATACTTTTAGGATTAAAAGGAAAAAAAAGGGGGACTTAACAGAAACAAAAGAAACAAAAGGGGAAGTGTGTTTACATTTATTTGCTCAGGCAAATATGCGTTCAGTTGTTTTATCAAGAATATAGCTCACAAAATCTTTAGAATTAACCATGCAAAACACCAGAATTCATAAATAGCACCAAAAATTTGCTCTTTAAGCTCTAAATTAGTTTTCTACCATACAATGAATAGTAGGCACTCTGAAACCACTGTAATGTATTCAGCATTTTTCTCCGTCATCCTTGGCCAGTCGAAAGGATGGCACATTATGAATGTTATCTGTACAGACATCTTTAATGTGTAATTTCTGTGCAATCCTAGCATAAGCTATAAAACGAGCTTAAGATAAAGAAAATTCCTAGAGTGGAAAATCACTTTATATTATTGAAATTAATTCTGAAAATGGTATCCCCCCAAATTCTAACAATGAATTCTACCTCTTTCCATTTATAAACAGGTAAATTTCTCATCCTAATTTTGAGAATGTGCTTTTCTAGGGATCAAAGACCCCAAAATCTAAAAGAGAAAAAAGGTACACTTTATTTCGCATTAAAAAATATTCTAGTGTATTTTTTCTGTAATCAGTTTAAATATAATTTGTAAAGTGAACAGAAACACAAAAAAGTACACCAAACCAATTAAAAACTTTCCCCAATGTTCAATGACTAAATGGATTTTTCCACTAAAATTCAAATAATGCATCTGTGCATATCTTGCTAATTTTTTTACAGCCTCCTTGTAAAACATGAAGTGGAGAACATCATGGAAACAATGACTCCTAGCAAAAAATGTCTTTATGATAAAAATACAGATTTTTATCTAATGCTGTCACATTTGCGGTCTCTAGTTAAGGAGAATAAGGGCATTCCAAGAACCAGAATTAAGCAGTTCATAATGACCCACACAGCTAAAAGGCATTTTAATTTAGTCTAAAAGATTTTTCAGGGCACGCAGAAATCAAACTTTGATACTTTCATGCAATAATGAAATCTTTTCCTTAAAAGAAACAGCATAATGGATAATGTTATAAAGCAGAAACAAAGAGGCAAAGATAAAAGCATGAAAAACATAATTTAAATGTCTGAAAAAATATAAAAACCCAATCAGTAAGGCTGAAGCAATCGATGCGTTTCTGATTTTCCAAGATGTGTAAAGCACCAAGGTGGAAATAACCCGAAACACCAAGGAGATCATTCAAGAACCAACTCGAGAGCTCATTCAGATGTTTGGTATCTGAAAGACCAATTTTCACAGAAAAACAAAACAAAACAAAACAAAAACTGCAGTGCCGGAAGATGAAACAATTCCACACGTAAGCAAGTTGAAATATACAGAAATACATAAACGTGGTCCACAAAGAAGCTGTATTTGTCAGGAAAGTTACAGTGGAGAGAGAAATAAACGAAATGAGATGAACCGGAAGGGCACCTGAATTTGGTTGCACGAAATTATTACATGCTTCGCACTGCTTTTTGCGGTTATTCAAAAGGAAACTGAAGGAATTTTCCAGTTGTTTCAAACCCAAGGACACAGAGAGAAAGAATTTGAACTGTTATGAATAAGACCTGATATTACGTTGTAAGCCGATGAAAAGAAAGGCTGATCAAAAATAAAGGGATTTTTCGACTTCCATGCACAATACCGAAAGGAACAAATTTCAAAAGTAAGCCGTGCTGTTCGTCCATATAATAAAGGATGGTACACATAACGTACCGGATCCTCCCCGTTATTTGTTCTTCAGTATACGCTACACTCCAAGATCTCCCTCTAATCAAGCGCTAGATAAACTCGCAAAACTATCTTCTGAAGCAGTTCAGCAGGTTCCTTTCGGTTGTAGAGTCAGGGTCCCCTAATTGTCCTTCTGCAATCCTCCCGAATCCAGGAAAATAACATCCTACCACTTTCTTCAACCCTCCCTCCCCAGGAGTTTGCCCTCCAACAGTCTTCGTTACATATCTGCTACACCCCAAAATCCCTCCACCTCTGAGTTTTTCCTCATTCCATAAGGCTAAACCTCATGCCATCGTAAGAATTTTTCCTCTTACTCTTCCCAAACTGGGAGTCTCCCTTCTTCCCAAATATGTCCTATGTAATGGCAAAGACTAAAAATTCCCAGTATTTTTTCCTCCGTAAATGCGGCGCTCCCTCCCCCGAAGTCTAGGCTTAAGCCTAACCTCACCCTTAGCTCCGGCTAAACACTTTTCTCAGCAGCTTCTCTGCCAAGCGCCTTCAAAGAGCGGCGCTTCTGGGGTTCCTGACAATAAAGCGAGACCACCAAGAGTCCCCCTTAACAACGGGCAGGGGCGGCGGCCTGGCCACCGCCATCCTTCTTGTCTTCTCCCGCCGGGCACAGAATGGGGAGCCCCAGGGTACCGTGGGGACTCACCGGTGGGGCCCAGAGGCGAACAGCAGGGGAGAAGTGCCAGTGAGGGAAAACAGAAAGAAGTCGATCTCGGTCCTCCGGCAGCGCCTGGGAGCGGGGCTCTGTCGCCGGAGGTTGTTTCCTTTCATTCGAGGAGAGACGGGCTCACAGAGCGCCCTTTACGTCGCCCCCCTTGCACGCTATGACTCACAAACGTTTACGTCCTGAGCGCGCCGCGGGCTCTGATTGGCTGAACAAATGGGGCCTCTGAAGCCGCAGAGCCATTGCGCGTGTGCACATACCACCCCCAGTAGGGACCAGGGTGTTGGACCCCGCCTCCTGCTCGCGCGCGCACCTTCTATTCTCCTGTCCGCCGCTCAGCCGAGTGTTTTGGGGCAGAATTCGAGGAGACAGAAAAAGATCCTAAGAGGACCCACAGGGTTGGGCGGAGAAGGGACAGGGTTGGGATTAGAAACGGTCGGACACAGGCCCTGGGTAACCAGTTTTCAACAGTGATTCAAGTGGGTAGGCCTTATTCCTTGCACTTGTTCACCCAGGCCTTTTCACATCCATTATTTCATTGTACTCTCGTGGCATCTCTTTGAGCTGAGCTCCTCCGGTCTCTCATAAAGACTAAGGAGCTCGCAGTGGAGTCATCGGCCTGGATTTCAATCCTGGGACGAATCATTTCAATCTCTACCATGTTTTTTTATTTTACTTATTTACTTATGTATTGGTCTTTAACATGGGGCTAAAAATAGTATCTCACCGGTTTATTGTGATAAAGAAATGACAATGTAAGTAAAGCGTGCATTAGCATCCCTGGCATAGAGCAGGCCCTCTGAATGGTAAGATTATCATAATCAGAAAAGATAAGGGATTTTCTTTATAATTCACACAGGTAAACCCGACACCTAAAGGGGCGCTTTCCTTTTTGATGTGTGGAGCCAGACGCCTTGGGTTTGAATCCCAGCTCCCCCACTTCTAGCTCCATGACCTTGAGCGCGTTTCATTACCTCTCTGTCCCTTAGTTTCAGCTTGTCCAAATGGAGAGATCACAATGGTATCCATCTTATAGGATTGTTAAGAGAAATGAGGTAATAAATGTAACTCATACAATAACGCTTGGATACACAGTATGCCCTATGTAAAGGTCACCTTTTATTATTTTCTACTGGGCTCAAACTGCTAGCCAGTGCCTTAAAAAAAAAAAAAAAACTCTAAGAAAAACAAAATTTAAAGATGCCTTTCAAGTAGCAGTTTTTCCTGCAAAGGTGAGATGTCGGGGAGTGGATTTTCATTGTTTGATCCAGTGCTGTTACTATGTTGCTTCCTCATTCGTATTATTTTTCCCTATCAACCTTAAATTGTATTCTCAAGAAAACAGTGATTCTGTTGATGTAATATTGTTCTCTCATGCAAACAACACCTAATAAGGGTAGACAAAGCAGTCACTTAGTTGCAGGGAACTCATAGCTCTTTCACCTAGGCCCTATACTGTGAAAGGGAGTGGCTGGAAATTTACATAAGAATATCCAGGATGTGTGTTCCAAACATCAACAATGTATTGGAAAACAAGCCCCCAGCACGATTTTCCACCAGCTTTGTGCACTTACTGATGTCAGACGATTGCGTAAGTGACAGAATGTAGTGCCTGTGCCATATCATCCTTTTAGATCCCCCCAATCCCATTTTGCTATTTTATTCAGTTTCTTATCCATGCATTCATTTAAAAAATTTGATTCAATAAACATCTGTGAAACCATTAAATTCCAAACACAAGAGAGATCCAGATCAACTCAATCCCTAACCTTGAGCTCATAGTCTAAAAAGGGAGATAAGACAAGCAAACAAATACAGTAAGATGTGACAAATGCTCTATCGGGGTGTGCCTATTATGTACAGACATCCTCTGCCTATTATGTACAAAGTGCTATGCTGAGGTACAACACACCAGTGAATAAAAAAATATATAGCCTTCGCCCTCAACTACCGTCTAACAAGTAGAACACAAACAGCTATGATAGGAGATGGACTGCCTCAAGTGCCTTAAAAGGTTGTAAGGGGGAGTTCAGCAGAGGAAGAGGTCAGTGACTCCAGTTAGCTTCCCGCAGGTCTGGTACCCAGTTCCAATTAGCATGACTAATAGATGCAGCCTGTTATTTCAAGGGCTACAAAAAAGAGATTGTGATAACACGCTCTTAACAATGCCTGAAGATGTAGCATAGGATCTCTTAATCTTTTCGACTCACCAGTAGGTACACTCCCACCAACACTCTCCCAGTCTTGGTCTTCAGGCTTTTGTACCTTATTCTTAGCAAAGGCCTTACCTTCCTGGCTTATTTAGATTTGGGACATCGAAGCTAAAGTACTTTACCTTGTGCACTCATCTACTCTTCCTTCAAGCTCACAGGAAGAAATTTTCTTCCTGCTTTTTAAAGCTAAAGGTGTGGTTTTAATCACATCTCTTCCATGCTCTGGAGGCACTGATTCTCTGCTTGTCCCTCATCCAGGAGCATCACTTGCCCTGCTCTCATTTGCCTTCATACACATAGGATTCTTCTACCTTCACTGCCAGACTGTGGACTTTGCCCCCCAATTACTCTCCAGTCATTCACGGCGCAGGCATTTGCAGATATTTTCTGTATGCCAGGTATTTTCCAGACACTGGATATTTGAAAAGGAATAAAACACAGTTCTTGCCTTCAAGGAATGTTCAATCTACTGAGGAAGAAAAAGTTATTTCTAATGAGGAAGAAAAATAGAATTTCAGCGCATAGGTGAGATACTATATAGAATTACATACCCCAAAGACAGATACACTCTGTCCAGTGGAGCAGGAAATATATCCATGGGGAGAAAATGTTTTGAGTTGGGCCTTGAAGAACAGGTCCAGGCCCAGAAAAATCTGGATTCTGTTAGGGTCCAGGCTTCCGAGGCTCGGAAGCCTGGACCCTAACAGATTCCATCTTCATGACTTTTCTCCATCTTCATTCTTGACATCTCTGTTACGTTTTAACATTTTTGGCCATTTACTTGTTCTTAAACTTTCACCTTCCTTGGCTCATAACAAGGGCTCTGACTCTGGCTGCTACTTCAGTCTCTTCTGTAGGTTTCCCTTTTTCTCATTTTATAATGCAGACTTTCCCCTAATTAGTCTTAGACCCTCTGCTGCATCTATTGTTATTCCAGCCCAACAATTCTCAAACTTTGGAAATAAGAATTCCTAGGGAGCTCATTAAAAATGTAGATTTTTTTTCTGGAGCCAGTGCCTGGGATTTCTGGAAGTCTGGGTCCAGGAGTCTGCCTTTTTGAACAGGCCAAATAATCTGATGCAGGTCTGTTGAGGACCACACATTAGAAAAATGCCCTCGATACTTTTCAATACTTTTTTTGTAGAATTGATACAGTCTCCTTACTTTCATTACTCTGTAAACAACCAAGTAGCAACTGTGTCTGTTCAGCTTAGATCAGCCTCCTCCTTGGCGCTCAAATCACACAAGCAAATTCATCCTCTCCAGCAACCAGAAGATAATTCCTTTTCCCATCTTCAGTGTTTCTGTTAGATAACTCTAGCCTTTCTGCTCCTGCCTAAAACAAAGGCTAAATTCACCTACATGCTTGTGACCTTCCTTCTAGCTACAGTGAACGCCACTGGATCATTCATTCATTCAAGTACATATTGATGACCTACAATGTGTTAGATAAAAGTGGACACGGTCCATTTTGGTGTAGTTGTGGAAACAGACCTTAATCAAGTAATCACATACACAAGTGTAAAATTACAACCATGATTAGTGCACAAGTAAATGTCACTTAGATGGAACTGAAGTCTATTTGCATTGTGTATATTGAATACATTTTATATTTCTTACTCTTTACTTTTTTTTGGTATCATTAATCTACAATTACATGAGGAACATTATATTTACTAGGCTCCCCCCTACATCAAGTCCCCCCAACAAACCCCATTTCAGTCACTGTCCATCGGTAGAGTAAGAAGCTGTAGAGTCACTAGTCTTCTCTGTGCTGCACAGCCGTCCCCGTGCCTCCCTCCACACTATACATGCTAATCATAATGCTCCCTTTCTCCCCCCCCCCCACTTACCCTCCCTTCCCACCCATCCTCCCCAGTCCCTTTCCCTTTGGTAACTGTTAGTCCGTTCTTCGGTTCTGTGAGTCTGCTGCTGTTTTGTTCCTTCAGTTTTTTCTTTGTTCTTATACTCCACAGATGAGTGAAATCATTTGATACTTGTCTTTCTCCACCTGGCTTATTTCCCTGAGCATAATACCCTCTAGCTCCATCCATGTTGTTGCAAATGATAGGATTCATTTTCTTCTTACGGCTGAATAATATTCCATTGTGTATATGTACCACATCTTCTTTATCCATTTATCTACTGATGGACACTTAGGTTGCTTCCATTTCTTGGCTATTGTAAATAGTGCTGCAATAAACATAGGGGTGCATATGTCTTTTTCAAACTGGGCTGCTGTATTCTTAGGGTAAATTCCTAGGAGTGGAATTACTGGGTCAAATGGTATTTCTATTTTGAGCTTTTTGAGGAACCTCCATATTGCTTTCCACAATGGTTGAACTAATTTACATTCCCATCAGCAGTGTAGGAGGGTTCCCCTTTCTCCACAACCTTGCCAACATTTGCTGTTGTTTGTCTATTGGATGGTGGCCGTCCTAACTGGTGTGAGGTGATATCTTATTGTGGTTTTAATTTGCATTTCTCTGATGATTAGTGATGTGGAGCATCTTTTCATGTATCTGTTGGCCATCTGAATTTCTTCTTTGGAGAAGTGTCTGTTCAGCAACTCTGCCCATTTTTTAATTGGATTATTTGCTTTTTGTTTGTTGAGGTGTGTGAGCTCTTTATATATTTTGGATGTCAAGCCTTTATCGGATCTGTCATTTATGAATATATTCTCCCATACTGTAGGATACCTTTTTGTTCTATTGATGGTGTCCTTTGCTGTACAGAAGCTTTTCAGCTTGATATAGTCCCACTTGTTCATTTTTGCTTTTGTTTCCCTTGCCCGGGGAGATATGTTCATGAAGAAGTCACTCATGTTTATGTCCAAGAGATTTTTGCCTATGTTTTCCTCCAAGAGTTTTATGGTTTCATGACTTACATTCAGGTCTTTGATCCATTTCAAATTTAGTTTTGTGTATGGGGTT